CTGGAGCTCAACCGCACGGAAGCGATCTTTCCTTGAAGGGCAGCTAAAGATGCACACGGCATCATAAGATAGAGGCTTAACTGCCTTACCCTAAGGGTCCAAGTACCCAAATAGTAGGGTTTCAAGGTCCAAAATCCATTCAGAGTTTGGATTTTGGGACCTAAAACCTTACTATTTGGGTACTCGGACCCTCTGGGTTTCTCATGTTTCCAGCTAACCTGGTGTAAGGTTTAGGACAATCCCTTCATGTTTCCAATTCCTCTTAACTGGCTGCCATAACTTGTTTGCTTGCAGGTCATTACTGTAAACCCCGCTGCAGAATATGAATAAAGAAAGATAAGCAAACATAAGTACACAAGAAGTAAGTTAATAAATAGCTGGAAAAATAAAGGAAAGAACGAATAAATACAAATAATGTATATATATATATATATATCTGAAATATAAGATCAAATCATATTCTAGAAAATATTCTTAATATCTTCAATATCTAATTCCGATATTTTGATGTTTCTCTAATCTTTCTCATTTATAATTCGAATCTATTTTCTTCTTTTTTCCCCAAATAGAATTTTATTTTTTGATTTTTAATAGATATATATTCATGATATATAAATGAAGACAAAAATATATATAGATATATAGATATATTTTTGGCACTCAGTCTCGCAAGAATCCATATAGATATAAAAAACCTATTTAAGTTGAAATTATTTTCTGTTAGGATCTTGCCCGAGAATTTGTTGTATTAATGTTTTCTAAATTATTATCGTATATCGTTATTTTGTCTGATTAGATGGCCGCCGAATCCAGGCCACAAGAGCATAGCAAGCAGGAGCAAACATTGGGCATCATTTCTCTGTTTCTTCGGTTGCATAGAATTCGGTCATTGATAGTGTTGAAATCCTTGTTGTCTCTGACTGGGAACGGCAAACGGAGCTACAGATGACGCTGACGTCTTCATTGTCCGTCAAACGCTCTGTGTCTCAAATCATATTGTTTGCCAGAGCCAAAACCTAATTGGTGCACGACATTCGGCCTCAGAACAAGACCTTCACGTAATTGATCGCCCAGTAAGCTTCCGATAGCGCCTCCTTGTTGGCGGGGTTTTGGACGTACTCGATGCAAGCCTGGTTCCCGCCTGGAAACACTGAACCTGCCCAATCACCGCAGAAGTCCAAGTTGATCACGAGCTGTTGATCGTTGAAGTGCCAAGAGGGACAATTGTAGAAGGGGAATGTCACATAAGGTTTGCCCCATGAATATGTATTGCCTTGGTCTAAATCGGCAGGGATCTGGCCACGGGGAAAGAACCACATGTAGATGCCCTCATTGGTCCACTGGGTGGCAAAGACTCCGCCTCCGTTCGTATTGAAAGCCGGACCCGCGCTGGCGTAGGGACCGTTCACTCCGCATCCGCTTTGTCCCTGCCCGGAAACACAGTCCGGGGTGCTGATCCCATCGATGTACATGAAGCATCCGGCAGAGGTGTGGAGAGTAGACTGCACGTTGTTCTCAATATTCACGGTCCTAATGCATTATTCAATAAGGCCTCGCCCTGCTCCGGTTATAGTAGGGAAACCCGAAAAGAACGAGGGCATAGCAAGGGCACAAGGGCTCTAACATCAGTATAGAACTGAGACCCCTTTAAGAGAATCCTCAAAGGTGGTACATACGCTTAAAAAAGCCGTAAAGTCATTGGGTCCTTCAAAAGAACCCCCTGGCCCGCCTGGTCCTAGTGCAAAGCCCTAAAACCCGTTGGAACCTGTACAAGACGAAACCTTGTAGAATCCTTCCAGCAACCCTTGAGGTAACCCCAAAGCCCAAAACACCATAACTTAGGATTTAGGGTTTAGGGGTTTAGGGTACCCTAAACCAGAAAATTTTGAAGGCTATGCCTACGTGCGCCAGCGTAGTTTGTTGGTTCACAGCGTTAACATGTGACAGGAATGGAAAAAACTCGAGTCTTTGCTCATCATAAGCAATTGAATCTGGGCTAAAGTTGGTTAAAATTTGGTCGCATAGGCCGCCTGGTTTTTGTCAGACTTTGTCGCCTCACCCCCTGGATTTTGTCACTTACGGGGGTCCAACTTCGTCAAAATTTGTCGCCTCGTCCTTCTGGGTTTTGTCACCAGCAGCGCCTCAGTCTGAACCCTAAACCCTAAACCCTCAACCCAATTTAGTCAGTTTTTGTCGTCTGAGCCCCTGGATTCTTGTCACCGGTTGGTGTTCGAGGGGCTGGATTGTGTCAGCGGGTGGCTTCCTGCAGGCCGGATTTTGTCACAGGGTGGCGTTCTGGGGGCTGGATTTTGTCACCTTCCGACAAAATCATTCTGTCAGCGGCCAACAAAAAGCCTCTACATCAGGGAACTGGGACCAAGGGCAAGACAGGACCATTAACTCCATAAGTCCTAGGAAATTCTTTATAAGGCCTAGGGCTGACGCCACGGAGGAAGGAAGTGCCTCAAAGAGCTTGCAAGCGAAATTGCTAAGGGCGCCAGCTACGCTGTCGAATCCTAACCCCTGGAAGCCTAAGCCCTAAAACCCTAAACCCCAAACCCGTAGGCCCAGGGTCTCGATCGTGTCAATCTCCCCATTGTTCCTTGGCTGACTTCTGAACCTCTCCTAAGAGCTAAACCTTTAGCCCACATATAGAAACCCAAAAAGTTAAACTTTTTGGCTACTTATTATAGTTTACATTAAAGCCCCAAAAACTAAAGCCCCAAGAGCCAACCCTAAACCCCAAACTTTTAAACCCTAAACACTGAACCCTAAAGCCCTAAACCCTAAACCCTAAAGCCTAAAGCCCTAAACCCTAAAGTCCTAAGAAGAACCCAGAGCTTCCACTTAATAAGATTTTAAGGTATAACCCTTAATTAGAGGATTTAACTCTAGTAGGATCCTTGATCAGATTTAAGGTACCCTAAACCCTAAACCCTAAAATCCTAAACCCTAAACCCTAAAATCCTCAACCCTAAACCCTGAACCCTTAACCCTAAAATCCTAAACCCTAAACCCTGAACCCTAAAATCCTCAACCCTAAACCCTGAACCCTTAATTGAGCGCCAAGGTTCGGCCAACCCCTAAAGCCCTAAACCCTAAACCCTAAACCAGGGCGATCCCTCAACCCTAAAGCCCTAGACCCTAGACCCTAAACCCCAAGATCCCTAAACCCTAAACCAGGGCGATCCCTCTAAAACCCTAGACCCTAGACCCTAGACCCCAAGATCCCTAAACCCTAAACCAGGGCGATCCCTAAACCCTAAAGCCCTAGACCCTAGACCCTAAACCCCAAGATCCCTAAACCCTAAACCCTTTTTACACAGGCTTGATTGGAGCTCGCCCGGCCAATGGAACCCTAAACCCTAAACCCTAAACCCTTAAGCCAAGGTTCGGCCAATCCGGCCCGAAGGACCACCAAGCTGGCCACGTCCCCTGGCCGCCAAGGCTTTCTTAGGGTTTAGGGTTTAGGGTTTAGGGTTTAAGGTTTAGGGTTTAGGGTTTAGGGTTTAAGGTTTAGGGTTTAGGGTGTAGGGGGGGGGGTTTAAGACTAGGGGTTCGATCAAAGGGCTCCTTGAAAGGGGTGTCATAGGTCCTATATAAGCTTAGGGCTTTAGATATGTAGGGGTTTAGGGGTTTCAGGTTTAAGGGCTTTGGGCTTAGGTTTTTTGGGTTCTACAGGGGATCTGGGGTTCAAGCTTTCTTCAGGGTTTGAGTTTCTTTTGGGATTCCTTGAAAGGGTTATCAGGGATATCACAAGTCCTCTAGGTTTAGGTTTAGGGGTTCGGGGCTTTGGGGTTTCGGGGTTTAGGGTTGGTTGAGGGTCAGGGTTACTATAAACGGGTTCGATGCTTTGGGGTTTAGGGGCTTAGGAAATTCAGGGTTTGGGGGAGAGTAAGGGTTACTCTAAGGGTTCGACACTTCAGGGTCTCGGCACTCACACTCGGACACTCCAGGCGAGGCATATGGTTCGAGGGGTTTAGGGGTTCAGGGTTCGGGAGAACCCTAAACCCTTTTGGCAGCCCTGAACCCTAAACCCTAAACCTGGTTTAGGGGTTCAGGGTTCGGGGGAGGGATATACGGCTTAGGTGTTGAGGTTTGGGGGAGGGCCTGGCCGGTGGGCATGTGTGCGATGTCAATCAGCCAGACGTGGCCTGCCTGGCAGTCGAGTTTTGGGATTTGGAGTTTAGGGATTCGAGTTTTTGGGTTGTGGAGTTAAGGGTTTACAATCTTATTTTGGGGTTTGGAGGTTGGAAAACCCTAAACCCTAAAACCTAAACCCCAAAAGTTGAGGGGCCTGGTAGACAGATCGAGATTGGAGTCTGATACTCTTGGCCGGCTCGTTCTGACCCACGATGCTCCGCAGGTACACAACACCGTCTTGCACGTGATACAAGCCTAAGTCGATGGCGGTACTTTCAGCCACGTAGACGACGTCGCCGTGGGTCGGGTCTGGTGCCGTGAAGAACGTCCAGCATTCGATGAATCCGTCTCCTGAGCATTCCTCGGAAGACGTCAGATCGCGAGGGTTCGTAGTCAAGCTTGGGAGTTCTTGTGAGGCAGCCACCGCACACGCAGCGTTGAACAAACGAACCGAAAATCGCTCAACTGGCAGCCCGGATTCTGCTGTACTATAGTATTTAATAAATACCACATTTCAGGAAGATATAGTCTTCTATATTATCCTGCCCAATGGTGCTGCTGTCCTACATAATGATCCGAGACGCAAGAGTCACAGCCGAATTGCCGTTGGCCGGTGCTGGGACGGGTGCGGGTGCAGGCGTCACTGAGCCACCGCCTTAGAGAGCAGAGGGACCTGCCCACATAAAGGACGTCTCTCTCTCTCTCTCTCTCTATATATATATATCTCTCTCTCTCTCTCTATATATATATATATATGCACAAATGTGTATGTGTGTGTGTCTGCATGTGTGCATGTATACACACATATGCATACACCTATAATATAACTATATATCATTAGTATATATCTATGTATGTTATTTCTATTTCCACATATATACATATATGTATACATACATACATATATGTATACATACATGTGTATATATATATATATATATATTATATGTATACATGTATAGATCATGGTACGGAGCCCTGACACATATACTTTGGTAGGGTCCTCTGTGTCTGCTGCCTTGAATGTGGGCGGGACGTGGCCTTTCGCAACTCTCTATCCTGAAGGACGGCGGGGCATAGCACTTACTTTGAAAGTAAGGCCAGAACTGCGGTATCTCCACATGGAAACTCATGAATCTACTGAGGCTCTAGGGCTTAGGCCCTAAACTTACTGTAGGGATTTAGGATTTAGGGGTAAGCCCCCATGATCCGATGAGCCTAGAGCCGGCAAAACCAGGGCTCACAGGGTTTAGGGTTACCCTAAACTTGCCCTAAACCCCAAACCCCTAAACCCCTAAATCCTAAACCCCTAAACCCTAAACCCCTAAACCCTTTAGGGTTCGAGATGTCTCGTCTCCAAAACGGCTCTACAATCCGAGCTGCCCGGGGTGGTACAGTCTTGCGACTTCTGAGGGATGGGGCATCCGGTGAAGTTGGCGTAGGCAGAAGGGCAGACGGTACCTTTGCATCGCGTGACCGCGGGACAAGCACATCGAAAGACCGGTTAAGGTTTAGGGTTTAGGGTTCCCAAACGTAGAAGCTCCCAGCACGACTCATCAACAGGAAAATCGCAAATCCAAAATCTCGACCCAAACACACATTCTCCAGAAGATCTTTCGAAAGGATCCCTAAACCCTAAACCCCTTTTTGCACAGGCTTGCGTTAATCCCTAAACCCTATAAACCCCTAAACCCTAAAACCCTAAACCCCTAAACCCTAAAAACCCCTAAACCCTGCCAGGTACCATCGGGGCAGCATTGGTTGCCTGCGCACGAAGTACCGCTGTCTGGGCACTTCACCGAGGCACCGGCGGAGCACCGACCTGCATAAAGTTCGGGTTTAGGGTTTAGGGGTTTAGGGCTTATAGGGTTTATAGGGTTTATAGGGCTTATAGGGTTTAGGGTTTAGGGTCGCAAAAGTTTAGGGTTTAGGGGTTTAGGGTTTAAGGGTTTATAGGGTTTAGGGATTTTAGGG